ACACACATCTCTCACAAGTCCTTTGAAACGACTGGCAGTTTTTCTTGTACATATCTTCCCACCTGTTTCCTAAAGCAGTCTTTGCTATTTCGGCATTTTACCCAGACACCTTGAAATCTCAGATGCAAGCCTGGCTGATCTTTTTGCACTCTCCACAATCAATACCTGACAGCTGCCATCTATAATCATTGCATGGACATGCAAGGGGCAATGGGGGATACAGTCAGTGGATGCACAGCTCATGTGGAACTAAGTGGGAGCTCAGCCAGATTTGGCCTCTGTCGATTAAATCCCCAGATACTTGGAACCAGAAACTTGAGATTTTAACAAATAGGACTTTGAAACACAAAATATCTTGCAATTATTTATCATGCATTATTTATTGAGTTCCGAAGACTCCCTGAGAGGAATCCCCCCCCCTTTTCCACATGATTCTGAGCTTTAAGTAGAGCTGCTTTTAGGTATTGAGATGGCATTAACAGATGACACTCATCCTAAACTAGCATTGTGTCCTTGCACTTTTGCTGGCCCATCCATGTCAAGGAAACAGGCTTTTCCTGTTTTGCCTGCTGAGACAGAGGAATCACACTGCTTTCAAAGCTTAAGAGGAAGCATAGGATCCTGTCATTATTTTAATTAATGCTCTGTGGTATTCTGTTGTCATCAAAAGTGTGTATCTGTGTTCCAAAAAAGAAGGAGGATGGAGCACTCAAGTAAAGTTATGTATAAGACCAGTTATTGCAGACTGACAGTGTAATCCTATGCAGAGTTACTACATACTAATCCTGTGGTGGCTCAAGTGGTTAAGACGCTGAGCTGCAGACCGGAAGGTCAGGAGTTCAGCAGTTCAAGACCCAAGTGCCGCATAACGGAGTGAACTCCCATCTCTGGCCCCAGCTCCTGCCAACCTAGCAGTTCGAAAGCAAGAAATTGCAAGTAGATAAATAGGTACCACTTTGGTGGGAAGGTAACAGTGTTCCGTGCGCCTTTGCATCTAGTCATGCTGGCCACATGACCACGGAAATGTCTTTGGACAGCGCTGTCTCTTCGGCTTGGAAACGGAGATGAGCACCGCATCCCTAGAGTCGGATTTGACTGGCTTTCAAGCAAGGGAAACTTTACCTTTAATCCTGAAGAAGGCTGCCATGTGGAGGTCGGTGCATACATTCACCAGGCACTATAGAGTAGACAGGTGGGCCTAGACTGAGACTGCGAAAGCTTATACCAGAGTAAAACTTTGTTGGTCTTAAAGGTTCCAGTGGACTCAAATTTTGTTCTCCACACTAATCCTGTTGGTTTCAATGGCTACAGATTGCAATGACTTTGCATAAGAAGACAGGACTCTGCACAGGATTGCAATTGCATCCCAGACCCCTAAGTATGATGTCCCATAACTTGCTACTTGTGTTATCACAACCTTTATGCAAATTCCAGAAGGACAGCTGTGTTAGTCTGCTGCTGCAGCAAAAATAAAAGAGTTTTGTGGCATCTTAAAGACTAGCAGGTTTATTGTGGGCTTTCAAACAATAGAGACCACTTCATTGGCTGTATAACATGTAATCCTGTTATCCTCATTTAGCAGATTTACACATATCCATGCACCCACATGTATGCACATGCATTACACACACACATATACCCACAAATACATACGTACACATACACCGTATACACATATACATGGGTGTACAGAAAAAAGGTACACATTGACACCAAAAGGTTACAAAATATAACAGGCTTAATCATTTGCATTTCATGATCTCTTGACCCTCTGTCTCCAACAGGTGTATTCTACTCAACCAAACCATTTCATTTAGACTTGTGTATACATGCCCACAAATTTGACATGGCATTCCCCATATCTAAACCTGGAACTGTCCCCATCATATACAGAAGTTGAGGAGACCTCATTTTAATAGCAAAAGAATGTGCAAAGGTGAGGAATGTAGAACCCTTTCTATCCTTGATTCTGGCCTCCTCAGAGCTTCTCTCTCAAGGACTTTTCTCCCAGCCAGTGATTGCCAACTTCAAAACTGTATGGAAAAGTGCTTGGGGAGGTATCCTGCAGGGGAGGGTTCTTCATTCTCCCCCTTTGCATGCACTTTTGCTGTTTAAATGGATTGATTGATTGATTCAATTTATAAACCGCCCTCCCCCAGAGGGCTCAGCACCCCAACCCATGAGAATGGGGCAGACCCAATTATAGATGTGCTGCTGCTACATCTAGAATGCATGCTTTTAGATGAGCTGCTTCCAGTGCGGCATGGCGACAAGGCGGTTTTCAGGACGCTCCTGAATCACCCTGTTCCTTTTTCGTTTCTCCACCTGACCGCCTGGAGGGGGGTCAGGAAGCAGGAGGCTTATCTTCGGCTGCCTTAGCATATGGCAAATGCGGGGGTGAGGTCGTTCTGCCTCGAAGCAAGAACGGAAAATGGAGCAAGTAATATCATATATTACTCTAATTTATTTTTATTTATTATTTTACATTTATTATTTTTTATGATTGTTTCAAAATTTTCCTTGTTTACCTCCCTACACAAGTCAGGATTGTCCTCAAACCATAACTGATATACTACTCATAGTTAGTCTTTCACCAATAGGCAGTATGTTCTCCATTCCTTTCCTGGATTTTCCACTTCGTATATTTCAATTAAAGTTGTCCATATATTTATGCACTTTTTTATATATTTTATAAATCACACCCCTCTTCTGTCTAATTTTTCGCCTCACATTTTTAAACACCTTCTCTGCTACTACTACTTCCTTCTTCCTACCAACACCTTTCATTTTTACCATTATTTTCTCTATACTTACAGCCTACCTAATTCATTTCAAATTACACATTTTCCCAAGATATTTAGAGGTAGCACGAAAAAAGCCAGAATAACAAACAGACAGAAAAAAACCAACAATGCAGAAAAGTTTCCCCATTACTTACATTAATTTATACCACCACCCTTTAAATCATATCTACTAACCCTCATCAAACAAGACTCTAATCTAGTCAATTCATTTTTTCACAACCAAATACTCTAATTTATTCCCTCAATCAGACAGAGAATCACAATATATATACCAATTCATATAATTTAATTTTCCTTCTATGGAACTAATGCTTCTTTTCCCCATTACTTAAAATAATTCATACCACCACCCTTTAAATCATAACTACAAACCCTCATCAAGCTAGGCTCTAATCTATCCAGTTCATTTTTTTCACATCAGGATACTCTATTCAAACCCTTTTCCACAATCAGAAAAAAAATCACAATAAATATAACAATTCATATACTTTAATTTGCCTTCTATGGACCTGAAGCATCTTTTTCCGCAGTAGCATGTCTACATGATTTTCCCTTTACATAGTTGGTACATCACTTTTACTCTCTCCTCAGTAATATCCACACATTCATGCTTCCAAGCCATTTTGTCCTTTTTAATCTTCCACATACATTGTCCCTGTCTTTCCCTTCTCCTCTTTCTCTTCTTTCCATATAAAAGTCTTTGCACCTTTATTCTTATCTTTTCCTTCTTCTGCTGACTTCTTTTAGTCGTTTTCTTATTTCGCCTTGATGTCGGTAAATATAGCAGTTCTGTACCATTCTCTTCTTGTTTACACCCATCAATCCTCTCTGAACTCTGTACAACTTGTTCTTGAATTTCAGCTCTCTCTGGCACCTTAAGGGCCTCATGTAAACCCACCGATGCTTGCTTAATGCCCCTTTGTATTCCTTCCTTCAATACACTCAGAAATTGTTCCACTGTTAGCTCCTCAATTAACAAATTTTCATCTATATCTACAATCATTTTATCAATTTCAGCAAACCTGTCCCAAGAGGATAACAAATATTGCCCCAGGGAAAAAAAGTTTTACTCCTCGCTTCGCTCCTTCCCTCTTTCTTCCTGGCCGCTTTCCCCCCCTTTTGTAGCATTCAACTCGGGGATAACTCTTCTTGCTTTAAATCTAAAGACGCCTGTACTTGCAAGTCCATAATCTCCATTTGTGTTGCTTCATTTAAAGTCCACAAAAAATTGAGTAAAAACAAAAACGGGAGGCAGCAGCTAATGTGAACATGGCGACCATGTTCTCCTTCATGATCCACTCTTGCTTCGGAGTATGAAGTGGTCACCCCCCTGCGTTGCCAGTCACGGGAGGGGCCACAACCGCAACCCTGCTCCAAATCTCCCTCCAGGAGATCTGTCGGGACTCTCCCAGACTCCGGGAGACCCCAAAAAGAGCAGAAAAGAATCGGGCATCTCGGAGCATTCCGAGCCCCGCCCGTCGCCGTGCCATGCCGCCGCGTAATATTGACTAATTATTTCTTTCAGATTCTAGTGTATTTTTGCTATAAATGATAAGATAGGAGGGAAAATGTCTAAGTAGATATTGAAAGAGAAAATGGAACTTGGTTTAGATATAAACTTATTTGAAATAAAAGAACTGTAGGTTAGGTATATAAAGTAAGGTTAGATTAAATAAGAAAATTGGAAGGTAAAATGAGAATGTAACTTAATGAGTTTTATATTTATTGTTTCCTCTGTAGTTGCTAGAAAGCTTGTATATGCTTGAATTAGGAGTTGGGTAATAGTGTAGTAACAGAAGGAAATTAGAATAAGTTTGTTATGTTGTGTTTGATTAATATTATGTTGTGTCAATATTTTCTATTTCATTCATCTTTTTTGTCATTGGAAAATTAATAAAAAGATTAAATAAAAAAATAGAATGCATGCTTTTAGTTTATCTGTAAAATGAAGCATCACCTCTAAGAAGGGATCAAGTTTTCTAATAACGGTTGAGTGCAGTTAGGAAGGTCTTCCAAAATGCTCTCCCTGCTTTATGGCAATATGATAATCACAGCAAGATCACTGTGAGGTTCAAGTCAATAAGAGGAATCAGGATTTTTTTTGTCTTTCCCAAAGCCAGGAAGCAACTTCCTTGATGTCTTTCAGCATACAGGATTTATACATTGGTTATTGTTTGGAGTGGCTATTAATTGATAATGTCCAGGCGGCGGCTGGCTTTGGGCATTTATATCCACCTCCTGCCCTTACGTAGGTGTAAGCAACAGCAGTATAAACATAAGATATCTACAAACCATGGGTAAAAAGGCTGCTTGAACCAGAGGGCTTTTATTCTGCTTCTCTTCTCCCAGCTGGGAAGCCAGCCTTGCAGAAAACATTGTCCTCATGAGAACAACTTATTTTAAACAGTGGCCCACTGTGTCCTGCAAGGTAAGAAGAAGAAGAAGAAACAGTTATAAAGCTTTAAGAGTCTCCTACCAAACTCAGTCCTAATCATTTAATATAATGGAGCAAGCTAGCTAGGCATGGGTAGGGGGTGGCTCTCTTCCAACCGATGGCAGTGTCTGTTTCAAGGGTTGCCAACTCCAGCTTTGGAATTTCCTGAAGATTTGGGGGCAGTGCCTGAGGAGGACGGAGTTGACAGAGCTTGGTGGGCATAGCTGTCATTTTATCCAGGGGGACTGATTGCTCTGGACTGGAGAGCAGCTGTAGTTTTGGGAGAACTCCAGGCCTCATCTTGAGTTTGGTAATCCTAGGTAATAGCAATGTTTTTTCAAATGGATATGGTAAGTTAACTCAAAGGGCCACACTAAGGCTGAATTATTTCTTTGAATAGATGGTGGTTACTGTGTTAGTTTCAAAAAATGCAAGATACCAAGTAATGAAAGTCATATGTTTTGCTAGAGATACAGAGTAGGTAAAGTAATCAGAGTATACAAGGGTTCATAGCAAGTCTTTTGATCTGATGAAGAGTACTGATGGTTGGGGAGTGTGACCATCCTTTTCATGAAGTGCCTGCTACCATTACTATTGTATAACCATTCACTATCTGAGCACTTGAGGTTTCTTTCAACATGCAGTGTGGCAGTCAGCAGAGGATACCGTAAGAAACCGTGGGCCAGATTTTGAAGAGCAACCACGCAACATCATCTTTCCCGAAGGGTCAACAGAGGAACAAATATTGTTAACATGCCAAGCACGAGCCAGCCCTCCTGCAACATACAGGTGAAGTTCCTTGCTTCCAGCAATGTTTTTGTTTTTCTGCAAATCTATGGCTAGAATCCTCACAAGCATGCAAGAACCAATGTGGTGAAGTGCTTACAGTGTTCAGCTAGGACCTGGGAGATCACTCAGCCATGAATCTCAATGGTGACTACCTCTGTCTAACCTCTCTCAGGCCTGGTTTGCACATGCTGGAGAATAAGCTGGATGAATGGATGCACTGCTTTAGACTGCATGAGTGTGTGTGGGTTGCATTAAAATCTCTCTGAAAATAGAAGACTACCAAACAGGGAGAAAGACTACCACTTCTTGTTGCTTGCTGTACTGTTTTTCTCTTTGCAGGAAATATTGAACATTAGGGTATAAGGCTGCCAAGGTGGGGGCGGGTAAACCCCCACTTTGGAGGCCCAATTTCCGCCGCCGTGGAATCGGGCCCCGGGGGGAACCCCACCCCCCAAAGCACAGCGTGGGTGCATCACAGGAAGTGACGCAACCACGTATAGCACGTTGGGGGCGTGGCCCCAATCGTTGGAGGGAAAACTCTATGGTTTTCCCTCCACCGATTGGGGCCACGCCCCCAACATGCTCTACGTCGTGCGTCACTTCCTGTGATGTTCTGGTGGCGCACGCGCGCTTTGCGCACGCACCCACGCATTCCTCAGCAGCTCCCAGACCGAAGCAACGCTCCCCTGCCGGTGAGTCAGAACGACTTAGCAACCCTATTAGGGTAACATTCCAAAATGTGATCCTCCACCTGTAGCCTGAAGCTGTGCAGTCCGTTCTGCCACCTCAGCATTCCTTGACTTCATTCCAGTCTCATTCTTTCCATGTATAAGCTAGCCCTCACAGTTTTTATGAGGAGAGAATGAGCTGGGGGAGAGCTATGAAATACCATCCTGAGCTCTTTGGAAGAAAGGGCAGGATACAAACATATAGACAGATCCATTTGCCTTTTTAAATTGACACGCATCCTGTCCTGTGTGACTAGTTATGGGACAGGATCCAGCTAAAGGCAATTTTTTCCCCATTAGGTTAAATGTGAGACTTAAGCATGTGAGGGCTGAGTTCGTGAGCCACCTTGAGCATTATAGAAAGATGGGGCATAAATATTCTAAATAAATAAAAGCACATGATAGGAATACACACTTAATATTCTCTCCAGTTTACATCTGTGGGTCTTCAATGTACTTAAATTTGGCTTGATTGTGTCACAGATTTTAAATTCTCCTGAGCTCAAAATTTGGTTTACTAAGTTATAATTCTCAAATGTCCACCAAGGAAATCCAAATTCTGTGCTCAGAAGATGCACATTGCCTGTTGGAATAATACTATATAAAATTGTTTACAGCATAAGTGCATATAGTATGTATAATTACTGTATATGAATAAAATACAATAATAAAATAAAATTATTAGTTTTATTTATTTATTTATTTATTTATTTATTTATTTATTTATTGTTTCGATTTATATCCCGCCCTTCCCACAAACAGGCTCAGGGTGGCTTACAGCAACTATTTGACTAGGTTACTTAATTTTCTATAAGGCCCTCTCCTAGAACAATTTGAATTTTATAATCTGTTGGGGGTGTCACAGGGGGAAGAAGATGGTCACCTCAAAATTTGGTGCACCTTGGAAGTAATTTCTCTGAAATCCAAGTGCTGTGGCTTAATTCTTTACATTCTGAAAGCAATGTCCAGGGTGGACATCCAGATATAAAACTGTGGCAGCTGTCTTTCTGTACAGCCACCAAGAACAGAATCAGTAGGGGGAA